CAAAAAAACAAAGGCATTTTATGACTGGGCTACCACAGGTATCCCAGTAAAAATAAAAACATTACACATAAATTTCGGTTTCTTACACCTTTTCGTTTGCTTACACTTAGATATGACGTAAAACGTACCACCTTAAATTTAACATTTTACGACAATTTGTGTAAAAGGAAGTCCACCCAACCTTGTTTGCGAGAATCGGCTGTGAGCGACTGGATCGGCTTGTTACTTAAAGAGCTAATTTGTTTTTTCGAGTTTAAGTCTCTGCATTACATAATGGCTGATTTGGAAGCACTAGTTCGTGTGTTATTCCATGGCTTTCCAGTCTATAAACGTTACGTAGAATCTATAAGGCAAAAGTATGAATTGAGACATGAGCATTACTCGACTGATGAACTCCGCTATGTCCTCACAGGAAGCTTCCGAGAAGGGTATCCGGATATTATTTTCAGTGATGGCGACGTCATGGTGATGTTGAACCCTTCTACAGAGATCTGGTCCTTGGAGACTCAAATTAGAGTTATGCAGCCTGTTAGTGAAGCGCCAGCCCACGTCAAGCTAATCATTCCTCCAGGTTGTAGGGAGCGCTTCGAAGAGAAATACCCTACAATTTCAACCTTCCTTGGTCTTGTCGAAGCCGAGCAAGATTGTTGCTTTGTGTCAGCTGAGACTGCGAGAAAACTTAACGAGCGAGACTTTCTTCCTGAGTTTATGGCTGACCAAAAGCCAAGTGCTAAGTGGACTGCTCCATTAGCTGGCGCTGAGGACAAAATTTCAGTTTCTTACACCTTTCGTTCGTCATCGAAGGATATTCTGGAAGGATCTGCGGAGTCCGACCGTGTACCAGCGATCGAGTGCACTGGATGGCCGACAAATGCTTACGAATGGAAAATTAGACAGCCAAGAAACTGGCCCAGTGCTGATGTGGTGGAAAATATCACCTCCAGTGGCTTTATGATTGTACCAAAGCCTTCCGACCTTTCAGGAGACATCAGGAAGGAATGGCGACTTTCGTTCTCGAACCCGGAAGCGGAACTTTTCAAGTGGTTTACAGAAGAGCAATCCAAAGTTTACTACTTACTACGTTCGTTGTTTGCGAGGCACTTCAAGGAAAAACTAGGAGGAGTATTAACTTCCTATCACTTTAAAACAGTGATGTTTTGGACACTCGAGGAAGAAGATCCCAGCCTTTGGTCTGAGAAAAGTACCTTGAATCTATTGCTGCGAGTTCTTGAGAAGCTCTTACGATTTATTCAAGACGGGTTTTGTCCTCATTTCTTCATCCGCAATCACAATTTGTGTTACAAAACATCGAAGGTTGCACTTGAAGAAGCTGCGACTGAAATTGCTCTCTTTTTTCAGGATCCTTTGGTTGCGTTTAGAAAGATTGTAAACAAGACGTTTCTGGGGTTGATACCTCGTCTTGAGTTTTTAACAGTGAAGGTTAAAGGAAGATTAGAAAGGGAAATTATAGGCCTTCCCTCCTTCATGAATTTAGAAGGGCATGGAGATGTAGAGCTAAAGTGTTTGTGGGAGACCTTGGAAGATACTGCCATCTCTATCAAAGTATCTCCAGATGGAGGTGCCCTACTCGAAGTGTACGTTGGTGCTCTTGCACAGGGTCACCAATTTGCTTTGCCAGGGATAACTGAGAGCGAACTTTCCAAGATCAACGTTACTTTTGTGCAAGAAGATTTCATTGAGATGGACATAGCACAAATGAATCAGTCTTTGTTGTTGTGGCTTGAGCTGGGTAAGATTTCTGTTGACCTCACTTCCAAAGGAACAAATGACAAACTGTTTTCTTTCTTTTGCAAGGTCCATACATTTTTGAAAGAGCAGAATGGCCCTTTTGATGAGGAAGGAAAGGAAACTATGGATCTTATCCAAGGTGTTTGTTGCATTACGGGGACATTCTTAGCTACGGTCAATTTTGATGCAAAGAACATTTCATATCAACAGCTGCATGAACTGGTTTGTGACTCACTTCCAATCAATGGGAATAGTGCCCAGTCTCCTTGTAAAATTATTCTTGCTCTCTTTGTACTTAGTGGTGCAACCTGTAAGATGGCAAAAAATTTTCTAGATTAGAAAGCTCATTACTGCTATTATAAGTTGGGTGCTGTGTGGTAAAAATTTGGTGATGGAGTTTTGAACCTAAAATTATGAGGTTGTTACAAGAAATATTCCTCATTTGTAGCAGTAAACAAATCTCACGAGCTGTGAGTTGCCAACTGTTAAAAGTAAAAACCTGTTTAGGGAGGTTAAACAAGATGTTGCCATGGGAAACAGAGCCAATTTCCCCAGAAAACAACACCATTTTAATGTCCAAACGTGGTTGCCATACCTTATTGCACCTCACTCAACTAAAAATTGTTATATTATTTAAAGAAAGCGACAAAACTTTTGAGTTTGTAAAACATGTTTGGACAGAAACTTCTGTCATCTTCAGTTAATTTCTGTACAAAGCCTTGAAAGTTGAATTATATAGTAAGTCAAACAATGCTAATTAAGATGAATAGTGACAACAAGAAAAGAGGTAAAGCATGCAAGTGTGAGAATTAAAAGGATAGTTTTAGATTTACGTGGTGTAATTGTTGATTTAAAGATGGTTGTTCTCTTTGAATATGAATAGCCTCTTTTATCTTAGGCTGAAAACCGATAGAGGCGTGATCTAAAACATGAAAGTTATCTGTTGAACACAAAGCGCGACAATGCGGAGAATCTTTCAAATGCCTGAAAATGTGAGAGGCCCTGTCACTGACTAAGTGCTCTCTAACACGTGTGGAAAAATGTCGGCAGGTTTCACCGACTCAACAGGCATTACAGCTAGCACATACAAACTTATAACCCACACGTGAACGGAGCCCGTCAGGGACAGGGTCTTTCACACAAAACAAGTTACCGATTTTGAAGGATGAGAAAACCAATTTGATATCCAAGTCATTGCAATTGCGCTTAATAAAATGGTGGATCTTTTTTTGAGTGATAGCAGAAAAGTGGCCTATGTAGGGTAGCTTAAAGTAGAACGTAGGTGAAGTGGTAGGAAGGGAACCCCGGGGATGATGATTGTTTTGGATCCCACTGATGTAACGGTTTATAATCTTCTCGATTAAATGAGCAGGGAAAAGATTCTTTTTTTAGAATATCAGTAAGGTTGTTAATGTCCTCGTGAAACCCTGACCAGGTGTTATTAATCTTGTAAGCCCTATCAACGAGTGTCTTAATGAGACCCACTTTGTAAGAGTACGAGGTGAAGCTGAAATAATTAGTTAGTAACCCAGTGAAAGTTTTCTTGTGGTAAACCCTAGTTAGAGAGGAACTGGGGTCATGGTTGTCAACCAGGACATCTAAAAAGGGTAATTTGTGATTAACCTGCTATACTATATACTATGTACTTACTATATAAATCAACTTTCAACGCTTTGTACAGTAATTAACTGAAGATGACAGAAGTTTCTGTCCAAACATGTTTTACAAACTCAAAAGTTTTGTCGCTTTCTTTAAATTCTTGACTTGCCTGCTAATATCAAGACCCTCTGCTATATTATTAAAAAGAAACCAGAAAATTCCAAAAGAGGGGGGTGGAAGGAATTTGAACAACATTGTAAGCCTCCCCCCTCACCCACCAGTAGAACAGCAAGGCACATCAAGGGAAAATAATTCTTTTTTCTTTATTTAAACATATTTTTCATTGTTTTCCTCAAAAGCACCCCGGCTTAACAAGGGGCATTATTTATCATATTTTTGTCATCTCTAATAGAAAGAAATGCGTGTTACATTAGCTGTGTAATCAGGATTTTCATGCAACCTCTTTTGTGAGTAGCAATGAGCTTTCTATTATAAATTTTCATTTGTAATGAACAAAACATATTGGAAATAAGAAATCTCCAAAAACTAAACAAGAGACTGATGGTACCAATGTCTCCTAAAGACATATCATGTAAATATCCCAACTCTCTTCCTTCCATGATCATAAACTGAAATAAACTCTGTACCATATCATTTAACCCTTTAACTCCCAGAAGTGATTAAAATGTAATTTCTCCCTATAATATCCATACATTATCTTGCAAACAGGTAATGAGAATACTCCGACTTATCAGGTAGAAGTTGTTAGCTTGATATATCACTAAATTCTCATAACTTATTTACAGGGAAATATATAGCAACTAGAGGAGAGAAATAACAATCAGATTTTGGGAGTTGAAGAGTTAATCTAAGGGCTTGTGACTGAGATTTTACTGTGTTGTCAAGTATAGGCATTTTGAATTTTCTGCATTCCAAGGGTTAATGATTAGAAAGACTGAGTCTTGAAATATTTCCACACCTTACTGTCCAACTGCAGAATTCATAAGACTGACATTTGCTTCACTAAAGCAACAACTGATTAACATCACATACACTTTTGTTCAATGGCTGAATTTTTACTTAATTAGGGACACAAGTCCCCAAAAACTTTACATTTAAAAAATTCTCATTGGAACCAGAGGTGGTATCAGCTATCGACTGTCATTAACATCTAACCCCCAAAAGTAACTAGCTTCTAATTTACCTTTGAGTATCACCTTTGAATTGTGAGAATAAATGAAATGATCTAGAGCTAAATAAGCCCTTGATCATGAAACTAAAACTCTTTGTCAGTACCAAAGGAAATTTATACAGAACAGTTTGAAGTAATCCTTCTACCACAAGACAACAACAAAACAACAATGGTTTCAGAACCACACAAAATACACACTTTTTAAAGAAATGAGTCAATGATTTCAAAAATTGTAATTCCAAGGTATGGTTATGTTTTGCATGCAAACACGACTGGGTACGATTGACCTGCCGCTTTTCAGAGGATGAGCCTAGTCGCTCGCTCCTTTCCCAGCCCCCACCCAACTTCAAGGGAGGATGGAAGACCTAATCGACCCTGATCTGGGAAAACAGCAGAGCACGAGCAGAAGTTGAATGAGTGTACATGTGAAGTATTAAGTAACGCAGATTACGAGGGTTTGAAAGGAAATTTTATAAGACATAGATGATCCACACCATTTAACTTGGCTGAAATCGCGCTATCAGGACTAAACGCTAAGATTAAACACAATGCAAATGCCGTATCTAATGCTGTCTTCCACTTACAAGGGTTGTGACTGCTAGATTTCTTATTCAAACCTTCATAATTATGATGATCTGAAAAAACTAAAGCACATCGCCACCAACTCTCCTTTTCCAGCTTTTTTCAGTTCTTTGTATTTAGAGTTCTGATTGACTTCTTTAGTTATTTTCCTTTTATTGGCTTTTTTGAATGCTTTGTTAGGGATCCTCGACCGAATCAATCGACCAGCGCTCTATTTCATGATCCTTAGGGTCTGCCTGTTCAACTGAAATCTTGGAAAACGTTTATAGATGCTCTTTAATCCTATGACTCCTAAGAGTGACTAACATCTAATTTTTCCTTAAAAATCACCCTCTAATCACACATAACGCACATACATGACGTAAAAAGTCCAATCAGAACATATCCAATTATTGCACTACATGAATATTAGCCAATTTTTCACTTGCTTGATCGTATTCAACTAATCAAATTCCATTTCGACACATTGGACTTCGCTCTATCACGTGTCATTTTCTTGTAAACAACCTGCATTTCATAACGCATTCTAACTGTGTTGTCAAACCCACTGAAAAAAATTCAGATGGAACTAAATGCTACTGATATTGAGTTTTCCACGCAATTCTCCCGCGTTTGACTTTTTCTACGAATTGAAGTCGCTCTAAGCTACCTTCGACTTAACCCAATTGCGTGTTAATTCCTTGTAAAACAACCTGCATTTTATCATGTAGATCACACACAGAGGGCAAAGTCCAGATAGGCAACAATCAATTAAGGAGCCCTCTTTGAAATATTATCCTTTCGTCTTCTTCAATGTATCTTTACTTATTCGAGATCGCAATATATCTTTGGTTAGGGTCTATTAGAGGTACAACAGAGTTTCAGTATGCTTTTCGTAGTAAAATTACGCGGAATTATATCTTTGAGGTGAGTCACTGTAGACGAATAATTTTGATTTCTCTCTGTTGGAGGAAGCGGCAGTAAGCGTAGTCTCTTTCGCAAACGTTATTTGGTCTCGTCACACAACGCCCTCTATTTCCAGTTTCAAAGAGAGGGCGTTGCGTGACGAGGCCAAACAACGCCTGCGAAGGAGACAACAGTAAGGGCGGCATGATGCATTTCATTTTTAGTTAGAACCATTTAGACGATAGAGACAGTACATCACATAAAGTCTCTGTGAGGTCAGATAAATTTGGTTCTTTTCTGTCTTTCTGCGATATTTTCGGTTTTTGAAAGTTAAGCTCTCAGTCAGTGACAAAAATAAAAACATTAATTACACAAAAAAACCTGTCCTTTCTTAACCCACCCAGCCAAAAAAAAATAACTCTTGCACACTACACATGCCCATGTTTAACCTAAGTCACCGTGAATGAATCTACTTCACACGCTTAAACTTACACGTAACGTAAAACGTAGCACCTTTGATTTAATTTTACGACAATTTGTGTAAGGGAGGTCGACCCAACCTCGTCCGCGAGAATTGGCTGTGAGGGATTGGATCGGCTTGTTACTTAAAAGTGCTAATTATATTTTCAAATTTAAGTCTCTGCATTACATAATGGCTGATTTGGAAGCACTAGTTCGTGTGTTATTCCATGGTTTTCCAGTTTATAGAAGTTACGTAGAATCTGTTAGGAAGAACTTTGAATTAAATCATAAGTATCACTCGACCGATGAACTCCGCTACGTCTTCACCGGAAGCTTCCGAGAAGGGTATCCGGATACTTTGTTCAGTGATACCGACGCCATGGTAATTTTGAACCCTTCTACAGAGATCTGGTCCTCGGAGACTCAAAGTAAAGTTATTCAGCCTGTTAGTGAAGCGCCAGCCCATGTCAAGCTAATCATTCCTCCAGGTTACAGTGAGCGCTTCGAAGCGGAAAACCCTACAATTTCAACCTTCCTTGGTCTTGTGGAAGCTGAACAAGATTGTTGCTTTGTTTCAGCTGAGATTGCGAGAAAACTTAACGAGCGAGACTTTCTTCACGAGTTTATGGCTGACCAAAAGCCAAGTGCTAAGTGGACTGCTCCATTAGCGGGCGCTGAGGACAAAATTTCGGTTTCCTACACCTTTCGTTCGCCGTCGAAGGTTAATGTGAAAGCGACGAGCCATCATGGATTTGTGGAGTCCGATCGTGTACCAGCAATCGAGTGCACTGGATGGCCAACAAATGCTTACGAATGGAAAATTAGACAGCCAAGAAACTGGCCCAGTGCTGATGTGGTGGAAAATATCACCTCCAGTGGCTTTATGATTGTACCAAACAAAGCCTTCCGACCTTTCAGGAGACATCAGGAAAGAATGGCGATTTTCGTTTTCAAACCCGGAAGCGGAACTTTTCAAGTGGTTTACAGAAGAGCAATCCAAAGTTTACTACTTACTACGTTCGTTGTATGCGAGGCACTTCAAAGAAAAACTAGGAGGAGTATTAACTTCCTATCACTTTAAAACAGTGATGTTTTGGACACTCGAGGAGGAAAATCCCAGCCTTTGGTCTAAGGAAAGTACCATGAATCTATTACTGCGAGTTCTTAAGAAGCTCTTACGATTTATTCAGGACGGGTCTTGTCCTCATTTCTTCATCCGCAGTCACAATTTGTGTTACAAAACATCGAAGGTTGCGCTTGAAGATGCTGCGACTGAAATTGCTCTCTTTTTTCAGGATCCTTTGGTTGCGCTTGGAAAGGTTGTAAACGAGAGGTTTCTGGGGTTGATACCTCGCCTTGGCCTTTTATCAGTGGAAGTTAAAGGAAAATTTGAAAATAAAATTACAGGTCACGCCTCCTTCATCAATTTAGAAGGGCATAGAGATGTAGAGCTAGAGTGTTTGTGGGAGACCTTGGAAGATACTGCCATCTCTATCAAAGCATTTCCAGATGGAGTTGCCCTTCTCGAAGTGTACGTTGATGCTCTTGTACAGGGTCACCAATTTGCTTTTATCATGGGGAAAACTGAGAGCGAACTTTCCAAGATCAAGGTTACTTCAGTGCAAGAAGATTTCTTTGAGATGGATATAGCACATATGAATCAGTCTTTGTTGTTGTGGCTTGAGCTGGGTAAGATTGCTGTTGACCTTACTTCCAAAGGGACAAATGACAAACTGTTTTCTTTCCTTTGCAAGGTCCATATATTTTTGAAAGAGCAGAATGGCCCTCTTGATGAGGAAGGAAAGGAAACTATGGATCTTATCCAAGGTGTTTGTTGTACCACGGGGGCATTCTTAGCTACGGTCAATTTTGATGCAAAGAACATTTCATATCAACAGCTGCATGAACTGGTTTGCGACTTCCTTCCAATCAATGGGAATAGTGCCCAGTCTCCTTGTAACATTATTCTTGCTCTCTTTGTACTTAGTGGTGCAACCTGTAAGATGGCAAAAAAATTTCTAGATTAGAAAGCTTATTACTGCTATTATAAGTTGGGTGCTGTGTGGTAAAAATTTGGTGATGGAGTTT